ATTAGACTGAAATTTGATCTTGTGTTGACTCTGTGGTATGTGGATTCGAAAGTGTGAACTAATGTGGTGTTCCTGATGTCTGACTGACTGTTTCTTGTTTTCAAACCTCGACCGTGTTCTTTGTCTGATGTTTGCTTGAGGGCAAGCAAAAGCTAAGTCTGGGGGAGTTGATATATCATGATTTTTATGGTTTTTAACCATGATATTAATCCTTTTTATTGAGTCTTTTTGGTCTTTTTAGAGTCCTAGAAGAGTCTTTGTAGATTATAGCATGTCTGGAGCATAATTGGAGATATTGGAGTTTTTTTAGATCATTTCAAGTTGAAGCCACGAAGTGCCTAGCTCGGAGAAGAAAGTATGCGATATGGTGATGCTCGTCACCACTCTTGGTGACGCTCGTCACCCATGAAGGAAGGGGTCGTGGCTGGTTTATTAAAAGTATGAAGATTATTTGCAGAATTGGCCCAGAAGTTCCATTATTTGCAATAAAGCCCCAGATCGTGTTTAGCCTCTATTTATTAGGTTTTTCAGCCATTGTTGGCTTGGATCTTAGATTTAAGAATTCAGAGAGTTTGAGAGAGATTTATTCAGAACTTTTTGGAGAGACAGATCCTGTACTCTTTTGAGAAGATTTCGAACTCCCTTATTTTTTTACTCTTTCTCTTAATGCAGTCTTATTCAGTTATGTTTTGTGATTCCATAATCATGTCTGAGTAATCTGCTAGTTAAGTTAGGGCTTTTTCAAGGGTTAATGAAGAGATTGTAGAATCGCTACCTGTTAGGAATATCTTTTGGTTTTTCATCTCTACTTGCTTTAAAATTGAATTTCTGAGATACATCATCTAGAAATCCGAAAATCATAGGTTGTTAAATATATGTGAGAGCATTATGATAACCTGAACTAGTATTTAACGAGCAAAACAACTTAGTGCAAAGAGATTTGACTTAGGAGTTTTGTGAACAATTGAATCTGACCATATTGCATGTTTAGGTTGTTAGAGTTTGCAAAGAGATTTGAAACTCTGTGATTTAGGCATAGTTAACTTCTGCAATGAGAATTGATTAGTTATATATTTGATATTCATGTTCAAAACGGTTTTTAATCATTCCTGATTTCATGCATTCTATATTCTTGGATTCAACCTGCGAACTGCCCTGACTTAGCGCTTTTAGTCTTCTGAAACTTAGATCAAACAACAAATTCGCTTGCTTACTTTTATTTCAACATTCACATTACATACATTATATTCTGCTTAGCTTAATCCAAACCTACATTCAATAGTGTAGTTTGCATTACTCTATTGGGATTCGATACCCCTTGTACTACAACTGTTTTTGTTGTGCACTTGCTGTAGTTTTATTTGGGTAAAACCTGAGCCCTATCATGAACCTACCCCGCAGCAGCTTACTGATGCTTACATAGAGGTAATCGTTTAGAGTTGATAATTACTTGCTTTACAACTGATTAAATGTGTTATTATTAATTGTATGGGTTATGATTGTTACATAAAATTTAAACAAGTACTTTTATTTTCTTTTTGCAGGTTGCAATGAACAACAAAGGACATATGTATGGACTAGGATCGACTCAGTATGTTGATGTTGCTGCCAACGAATCTGCTGGTGCTTCTCTCCGCAGGAACATGGATGTAGAAATGCGTATGACCGGTATGGAAGGCAACATAGCCAAGCTAGGCAATGAATGTGCAGACATGAAGAAAGCGATGACGGTGCTTTTGCAGATCAATGGAGTCGATCCGGTAACACTTCAACAAGTTCCACGTGATGAGGAAGCTCTGCTTCATGTTCGAGTGAGTCTGCAGACGATCCAACCCAACCCCCCATTGTTCACCTTTAGAGTTAAGGATTTCAGTTTCAAGGTTTAATGGAGGAATGATGTGATATATTAACTCTACTACTTTAGGTATTTTGAGATTTTCAATCGGCTATTATATATGCAATCGTCTATTTTAGTTATTTTTCCAATCGGCTAATATATATGTAATCGGCTAATGAATATTTTATTTCAGTTTTATAAGAAACTGAATTCTATTTAATTGTGTATTTTATTTATTTAAAATTTTCTATTAATCACAATTTGTGTCTATTTGAAGACAATTATTCAATTTTTTTGTTATTAGCTATAAATAATTTGTAGCTATGTATTGTCATTACTAGGATTAAGATATATTTATTAGTGGCTAATATATAATAAAGGCTACGAATTAATTCTAGCTAATTTTGTAGATATATTAGACACATTTGAGTGGTGACTTTTTGTGTCTATTTATCACAAATAAGTTCTGACTATCGGTGGCTAATTGCTATGATAAATTTGTCGTAAGTCATGGAAAATATAGATACAAATAGGGTTGTGTCTATATGTAACTATTAGCCACAAATCTAGTTCTATCTATGTTGTGGCAACATAGCTACGAATAGCGAGGAATGCCAGATAGATACGAGCTCAATGACACAAATTTGTGTTGTGTCAAATCGTGGCTAACACCCAAATAACCACGGATAATCAATTATAGCTACAACTAAATTTGTAGTTATATACAATTTTTCTTGTAGTGAGCATTTATAGTTTTTTGTGAGGAATCCAATTTCTTTAATTTAGTAAATAATTTATTTATTGACGGTTGTAAATTTAAACACAAAAAACTAATTAAACAAGTGGTCGGAAGAGATTATAGTTTTTACAAGTTTGCTTGACCAATAAAATCAATCCAAATAAAAAAATTTGCAAATTATAGCTTACCACGGAAACTAAAAAAAAAAAAAAAACTACGATCTAACAAAAATGGTGGAAATGTATTGAACCGTGTGGGAGTGGCACTACCAAATTGTTTTCAAATCGGATACACATCAAAATAAAAAAAAAAATCATAAAATTTGAGTGGAAAAATTTTTGGTAAAAAAATACTGAAACTGTTTTTTTAATAGAAAAAATCAAAGAATTGTATTTTTGTTGAAAAACTAATGGAAACGTATGAAATATTGTGCAAACAATATTTTAGAAAAAAAAAGTACCCAAACCCACATTTTTGCAGCATTTAGAAAATATTACTTAAAATTCAAAGTTATTGGATTAGTCATTTATACAAATTCATTAAAATTTTGGCTTATTAGAAAATTGGGATTTCATTAATGAATTATTTTTAAAAATGATTTGGAATAATTTGAGAGGTAATTTAGAGTTAAAATCTATAGATTGAAATATCACCTCATATGATAGCATTTGAGAGAATTAAGAAGACAGAATTTGTTTAAATCATTTTAAAACTTTAAATTCATTAAAAACTTCATAGATTTAAAATTAATCCAAATTAATAATCTAATATGCCCCCCCTTAATGTTAAATATATTATTAAAGGTTAATAAAAAATATATGAGTCAAAGAAGAAAAAATAAAAATAAATAAAAATAACCTCAGCATCAGAAGCCACCTCCAAATTACTAATCCAAAATTGGTTTAGTTAGCAATAGATCAAAGAAAAAAATATTTAAAAACAAAATATATATATATATATATGTATATATATATATATTGGCAAAATTATATTGTGTCAGGAGAAAAAAAAATATATCATAGATAATATTCAAAACATATTATAAAAAAATAATTATTATTTAATTTAATTTTTACATTTGTAATTATATATTATTATAAACGCTATGAAAAATAAAAAACAATCAAAAGACACAAAACGATAGGAAACGTTTGTGTGATTGTTGTTGAATACTTAAACTGAATATGTATAAAAATATAACGTTTACATAATGTATAAGAAAATTAATCAATATTTAAATATTACAACTAATTATGTCTAAAAAAAATTATATCTGCACATGCGTGCATGCCAAAAATAAAAATTAAATAAGTTATTATAGATTTTAATGTTTTCTTATTTATTTATTTATCATATTTATATTTTTTATAGAAAGAAATATACTAAAATTTTAGTTAATATTTTCTTTTATCCTCATTTTCTTTTAAAATCTACAACATTTTATATTTAATTTATCATTTTTATTGTTAAATTTTTATTATTTTACTATTAATACATAATTAATCATATATAAATGAAGTATTTTTAATATTATACTAATCATAATTAAATATATCAAATGTTTTAAAGCCTGCACACGGTGCAGGCCGATCACCTAGTTTAGTAAATAGATTGGATTGATCCTAATCATAAACTAAATTCATACAGTAAAACCTCTATATATTAATACTCGATTCATTAATATCTCGATAACTTCATATTTTTGTTAGTCCCAAAATTAGTTTTTCAATCAAATAATATATTTATAAATTAATAATCATTATAAATTAATAATTTTTTTATAAAACTTTAAAGTTCCAATATTATTAATTTATAAAAAAAAATTACTGTAGTAGTTTATTATTTAAACAATAATACACAAAACATATTAAACATATTGATGTAAACTTATATATTTGTGTTAGTTTTTAAAAATGATATAAATTAATAATGATTTGTATTAGTTCTTTTAAATAGATGTTAATCAAATTAGTATTAGTATCAACTATTTTTTAATTGATACTAGTCAAATTAAGATAATTATCAATTAAAAAATTGATGTAAAATTTCATATTTAATATTAATTTTTAATAAATGATTCTAAATAGATGTAATATACCATTTTTCTTGTAGTGTTAGTACCCCACTGCATAGATTATAAATATATATACTAATCTTTAACAAGAAATGGTTAAAAAATAAATAGTTAAAATACAAAAAAATTATTCGTTGAGTCTCATCAATATAAGGATAAGCATATATAACTCTTAGTTAGTATCTTTTGAATGTACACAGAATAATTTACATTTGTTATATATCGTTCTACATATTATATAGGAAAACTCTCAGCATTACGTGTAACCAAAACATAAGAACATCATAGAAAATACTAAACGTAAAAGCATCTATTAATTATGTCGTCCATGGAAATACTAAACGTAAAAGCATATATTATGTGGCACATCTCACGGAATGTCCTCGTGAGATGTGCCACAAGGATCGGGATTTGGGATGGGGTTGATCATGAAGGCATATCAGAAACTACTATAGAGGTTAAGTCATACGAGGTGATTGAAGACGGAGTGATAAAGCATTTTAGTCACGAGGAGCTCAAAGAAAAGCATGCACCAGTCCCGTATTTTTTGGCCCGTTTTATAGTTGCATGGAATGTCATAAATTTTATTCTGCATGAGAAATGTGCATATCTCCTAAAAGAAAAGACAGATCCTTTCTACAAGATGCCGATAACTCTATCCCTACTTGGAAACCCCACAAATGCTTTAAGGTATTGTCATGCTTGTCAATACTTATTCCAGGGTTTTCGGTACACTAATAATCATATATAATACAGTCCTTGATGTGCGATGCGGTTCAATATCCGAAATTTTTTTCCACGAAAGCCATCCTCATCATCCGTTGTACATCGACTCAATGGGCAATGAGTTTTGTAAAGCTTGTGGAGACAAGATAACTATAACTTTGAGCTGTGAGGAGTCTGGATATGTGTTGGACCCTAAATGCTCTATCTTGCCGAAGAAGGTGAAACACAAATACGATAATTATCATCTTTTGTTTCTATCCTATATATGGAGAAGATTCGAGTGACCAATACTGGTGCGAAATATGCGAGGAAGAACTAAATCCAGAAAAAATGGTTTTATAGATGTGATGATTGTGGCTTTACATTTCATATCAAATGCACACTCGGAGAGTTAATATGGGCGGAGTTTGTTAGAAATAAGATCATATATGTTACGATATACTCTTGTATATTAGAGATATAGCTTTACTCCTGTTTTACAGGACTTGTATCTATCGCTATTACTTGTATAAATATCGGTGCTCAACACCAAGAGAAATACAACAGATTATCCAGATTTACATGGTATCAGAGCCTACACAATAAGCTTTTTTACAGACTTCTTCAAGGTGCTCAACAGATCACATGACTCGGCAGGTTTGCAAAGCATGTCAAACTGGCTGTCGCTTCCCATATCATTTCCAGCTTTCTCCTTCTTTTGCTTTCTGTTCTGTACAATGTTTCAATATTTATAGATTTTCAAAAATACCACAATAATAAGTTTTTTGTGGAAATGTACAATAAGAACATCATTGATAAGTATCTTTTCCTTTAGATGCAACACAAAAATATGTATTAAAGCTACTTTGCTTTGGGATTCTGTAAGTAATTGCTCAATGTGTATTATTAATAACATAAAAAAATATGATGACATACACAATATTAAGTCCTTTTTCGATAAGACGATATATATTAATGTTGCTTTCAGAATATTTAATTTTAACTTTCTTTCATATATTTTCTGATACTTATTTTTCTTATCAAGCAAAGTATATATTAGTCTACAGTTTAAATTGATTTTCTTCTCCTGGAACAGGCAAAATTGTGGTAGTCTTTCGAGGGAAATTTAGAAAATAAAGCATAGTCTAGATTAAACATAAAAAAATAAATATTTTTTTATTAGTGAAAATGAATCTAGTCGATCCGAGATAAATTTAGTCAAAACCAGAATATTTAGAATACCCATTGAAGGACTGCACTTGGTCTTGAGATTTTTTCACTCTACCATTTTTTTTGTTGTTTCTATGGCATTAGATGTATATAAAAGAAATAACTAAAAATATCCATCACATTACGTATTAGAAAATTTTATCAAAAATAGTTACACCTACAAAACAAAAAAAACTATATACAAATCCTCATCCTCGCCGGATTTTTATATACACAGTTTACAAAGAGCATTTCTTTAAAAAAGAAGATGAGACGATAAAGAGACATGCCTTCAATTGGCATTGTACGGTACGCGCGTCTGTGGGATCCACGCGTTGCCACGTAGGAAATTCCCGGGAGAAAACTCCCTGGCGTCTCTATCGGAGATCCGTCGGATACCTCTCCACCTGACCCGGCGGGCCTGACCCGAACCACGACCTCTGTTTCGATACTCAGTGTAGAACAACGTGTTGAGAGCGAACGTCTCGTTCCACTTCAACCAACCTTCTGGATCTATCACATCATCAATCTCCGTGTTCATTATAATCGTCCTCGAGTACTCCTTCCATGGTCGTCCTAAAAACGCCCTGTTCCTGTATATATATAGGTCCACATATATAAATGAGCTTAATCAAAGTGCTATAGGGCTACTACTTAATCAAAGTTTATGGTAATTATGGTTACTTGGCTTTCACGGCACGGTATGATTCATCACCAATTATACGGCTATTGTGGATAACGATACCGGTCGTCTCACGCCGGTCTTTTCGTCCTTGTGCCGTAACAATGCACTGCTGGTTATCCATGGGACGACGGATGACGAATTCACAGTTTTGGAAAACGGCCTTGGCATCACCGAAGACGAAATCGATGGTCCCTGAGATGCGGCAGTCACGGTAAAATTGACGGTGGGTGTGTGCGTAAAGTGTGTCTTGGTAACCGTCCATACGACAGTTGAAAAACACCGCGAAATCCGCCGAAACTCGGAGTGCGACCGCTTGATGGCGTGCTGCTCCGGCTGTATTCTCGAACCCTATGTCCTTTGCCATGAAATAGTCACCGTTCACCGCTTCAAATACCAAAAAATAATATTTCAAGATTTTAACATTGAAATTAAAAAAAATAACTAAATTTATTTTTATACATAACTGAACTTGTGAATGTTGCTTGTTAGTTCAAGTTAGCTCAATATTAAAAAATTTGTGTAAAATGTTAGATATGAATTTACCGACGGAGGCAGTGCGGTAGGTGCCGACGCGGTCGGGCAAGAAGGCGATGTCTCCGGTGATAATGGTCTTTGTTGGTCCATCTCCGACGAACATGACGTTGAGCATTTGCTTTGTTACCTCTACTTTTTCCTTGTAAACACCTTGTTTTATGTGAATCACGAACTTCCTTGTGTTCTTCATTGGTACCATTGCCAATGCTTGTGCGATCGTCTTGCACTTACCACTCCCGTCCTTTGCCACCACTACGTTCGCATTGATTCGATTCCCTCGTGCTAGCAGCCTCCGTGAATGACGTGTTACCCAAGGCGGGAACTCTCCCTCCGATAAGTGTCGATCCTTGAGAGAATCTATTTTTTCAAGAGGATCCAATTTTCTAAGAGGATTTAATTCTCGAAGATGATCCAACGGTCGGTTCTCTGAAGAATCGAGCGGTTGGTTCCTAGAAGAATCTGATGGTCGATTCTCGGAAAGATTCGGCTGTTGATTGTTGGAAGAATCTGATGGACGATTCTCGGAAGGATTCAAAATTTGAGGATCCTTGGAAGAGTCTAACGGTTGATTCTTTGAAGAATCCAACGGTTGATTCTTGGGAGAATCCAACGGTTGATTCTTGGAAGAGTCCAATTTCTTAGGAGGGCTCTCGGAAGAATCCCTTTTTCGAAGAGTATTTTCGGAAGAATCCGACGGTCGTTCTTGTGAATTACCGGGACGAAAAATGCCGAGTCTGTCCCTTCTTGACTGTTGGAGACATCATGTCCGGTTTGGATTATATAGTTGTAGGAAAAATAATTTTCAGAAACGTAAAACAGGCAATAAAAGATAACAACTCAATAAAATAAAATAAAACTAATTGTATCAATTTCTTTTTGTGTGATCATTACAATCATTTTAGTTATGAAACCTAAAACCTAACCAAAACCAAAAACCATTGAACCTAAGAAATGTAAAATGCTACTTTTGATAGAGTGATTAACGTGTAATGTACGTACCTTAAGAAATGGAAGTGGAATACTGAAAGCCTTCAATAATTCGTCGAGATTAGAGGCGATCGCTAATCCGTTGCTAGTGAGATGTTGTCCTTTCCTCATGACCCTCTCCATAACAGCAGCAGCCTCGCTATCGATACCTTCGAATCCATCGATGCACGTTTGTTGGAACGTGATCGATCCGCTGAGCCAAACCCGAAGATCCTCAATGAAATCGGAAAGCCTAGTGAACATAAACCCCCTGAACTTATCCCTTGTTTTCCGAATATCGTCTATTGCATCATCCATAAGCTCTCGGCAACTATTAAGTGCGTTCCTCGTGTGCACATCCGCGTCTGCTCTGCTCTTTAGATCAACCATCCCTCTGTCGATTCCACTCCGAACCGAGGCGATTGCTAGATCGAAAGCAGCTCTGATCAGATTCCGAGGATCCGGGGAACTCACAGTCCCGAGACTTGAGGTGCAATCTTGTTTGTAATCGGTGGAGGAACATATAATACTCACCGTCGTCTTTGTTATCATAAGCTTGCTTTCACGGTGGATCTCTGCTGTTTTTCGTCTCGGGCTGCTGTCTTCATCGGCCTTTGCGCAGACGATCATTGCCAAGAAGAGAGACGCGACGCCTATCAAAGCGTATTTCTTTATCTTGCTTGACTCGTACCATCCATTCCGCATATTTGGTTTTGGAAATGTTTTTTCTTTTGTTTTTACAATATTTATCGCTAATTGTGAGTTGGTTTCGAATTCTTACTTATATGTGGAAGAAGGGAGGGAAAGTTACTTATTTGCCGTCAACAAAATATGAGGTAGTAGTTAATTTTTCATTTAGAAAAAAATGAAAAGTATGACCAATGGTTTTTCCTTTACTTGCGGGGAAATGAATTATGCTCTTTTTAAATCATTGGAGGTAGCTAATTACAAAATAGGATGTATATATAACATTACATTTGCGTGTATGGAATGTTCTATCAAATATCTTCAGAAAATGTTATTGCTAATTATCTACTCATTTAGTTTTTCACTCTCTAAACATGAGATATAGCGAAAAAGAGAGATAGAGTTGAGCACTTTCAAGATGAATCTGACCATCTACACTCTCGGGTTGCTTTTGTTATTTTCTTTAGATATTTCGATTTTGGCTTTGTCTATAGAATCTTTTGTTCTGCCATTATCTATTATTATAATCTCCATCAAAGTGCTATTCTAAGAATCTGTGATAGTTTCATTTTTAAAGGGAAAAGCCTCTTCTGTAAAAATCGTTTTTTCCTAATATATAGAGTAAGATATCTTTTGAGCAGTAAATGTCACGAAAATGAAGAAAAATAAAAACTCATTAGATTTGTTTTAATTTCGGTTCAGAATTCTTTTGAGATAAGTTTCTTTTTTTCTTCTATAACTTCATTTCAATATGATCGATCTAACAGGCCATGTTGGACGTTCACACAAAAATAAATAAATAATAATAAACCCTCAGTTTTATCGATCGAATCTAAACCTACTTAAAGGGTTTGCTTCTATCTTGCCTATTCCTAAAAAGTCTTAATTTAAGATATTTATTGATGTAGTCGAAAAAACAAGATCTCTTCTCGTGTTTAATAATATATCGAATCAATGCTCTTTGCCTCAATACCTCGTTAAGGAAATTGAGCATTTATCAACATTTTATATGTCACTAAGGACTAAAGAGGATGTTCTTATCTCTGCATTGTGGAGAGTTATGTCAAAATCTCTCACATCTTACAAAGGTTGAAATTCTAAAGGATTTATGGTAAAATAAACAAATAGATTGGCCCGGCCTTGAATCTAAGCTGGGCAACTCCATGTTTGCGGTCCTCATTTATAAATTATTTTTGGCAAAATATCTCATAAGAGCTTCTTAACTTCGAAGCTTTATATGGTAAAGCAGTTCAATTCTTTTTTATAAATTGGAAGTTTTCAAACACTTGGGGCCGGCATTATAGATAATATAAAGAAATTATGAATAGAAGAATATTTCAAACTAAAATAATATAAATCCCTATATGGATTAATAATGTTAAGGCATTGATCCATAAAAATTAGCAAATGTTTTGCTGTTAGACGTTTCAGGCAATTTCATAAACTTATGTTAGACAAATTTAAAGTAATATGAGGTGAAAACACATTGATTATTTTAGATTAATTTGTAAGATTTATTAATTTTCTTCTAGTATTATACATATAACTCATTCTATAACTCAGATAAAATTAGAGCTTCTTCTATAACCACAAGTGGGTCTGTGTCTGGTGCATATGGAAAAGCAGAGCTGCCGCACGGAGAACTCTATCGACTGAAATAGAAATTAGTTGTTTAATTTTCTAACCAAGTCGCAGAAAACATTCTTCACTATATTTGAGGGTTCCACAATACAGATCCACAATATATTTGATCATTTCCAGATTTATATAATATTTATTTAAAAGACTTATATATATATATATTTAGTTAATATAAAAATAAATTCGTGAAATAACATTTATAAAGCCTGAATATTGTTTGTCCCTTTAAAACCTCAAAAGTATCGGGGGCCGCCTCTGTGCGTATGAAAAGCTTAATTATGTTTACAAAGAGTGAAGAACACATATTTTCATTCGCATAAAGGATTCCATTACTATAACACTGTAATATTTTATAGACTTACAGTTACAGTACATAAGCATCATCAACTTATGGTAGTACTTGTAGATATATAGCAGACTCACACACTTGGTAGTGATCTAAAGCTTATTCTAAGTGAAACCGTTACAACAAGCTTTAACATATGTGTTGGTCTGTCTTTTTCCGAAAGCAGAAACAAAATACATCACACTTTTCTTACAAACTCACCTTGAATCTTTTAGCCCCGCTTAATTACGAAATTCCTTTATAAGCACCCCTCCATAGAGTTTGACCGCATCGTCGCAGCTAATAGCCCGTCCTTTCGGCCTCTCAAACCGGTTAACATGGCCAATAAAAGGACGGGCGCCACCAAAGTGTTGAATATGTTCTGTTGCGTGAGAAACAGCCGGTTCTTTTACAATTGACTGGTTTGAATACTGATAATTGGCTCGGCGACAATGAGTAGTACTAGTAGTCACCTCTTTTATTGTATAAACTTTTGGACCACCATATTCGTAAGAATTCTGGTGAAAACAAGAAGCAAATTCGTCTCTAGGTAAATGTGGAGGAGAGATTATTTTCTGGGACTTACCGTACACCTTATCAACCATTTCAAAAGCCTTTTGAGCAATCCTTGTATTCCTATCCTTTTGAGACATTGCCATTGAAGCAAAAAGAAGAGAAGAAAGGTGTTTTGTTTTAGTGTGTTATCTTCTTCTTTTGCTTTTAGGTTGATTTGAGAAAGGAAGCCAAAACAATGGCCTTTATATAGGAAAAAAGCTTATACGTTACGAAAGGAACCAACATGCTCTTCTAACTAACCTGAGCTTTTCTATATTTTTCTAGTGAAATAATGTTATAAACTATCCGCTTGCATTTGCATATGAACATTCGTTTTCTTTGAAGTTATCCAAGATTTAATATATAAAGTAGTTCTGATATTATTCTGAAAGAAAATTTTACCAATACATGTAGCTATCACAATTAAACATGAATGGAATATAATCAAATTTAATTAATCATTATTCCCTCAATAATGTATGTCTCGTTGAAAGGCCATATGGACGGTTTGACGGTCTGTCTTATCCGTTCAGTTCATTAACATATAATCTATATTAGATTACCTATTTTATACAAATTAATGGTAAATTTAAGTATCAAAAAAATACATACTGTCATTAAGGCTACTAAGCATACACATTACTTGATTGATAACAAATGTAGCTTTACGTTTTTGCTGTAGAATTATGGTTGTAGATTTTTGTGATGTAGTTTTAGATTTAATTTCTGTAAAACTTTGACTGTAAAATTATAAAATTTGGAAAAAAATAAAATTATATACTTTAGAAAAATATACCTTATACAGCAAAAAAAAATAAAAATAAAAATATTTTGGCCGTAAGCAATAAAAAAAAGACAAAGTTTATAAAGCATAATTAATATGATTTAGAGTTTTCAACATAAATATTGTTGTGCTAACTAGATCACTTCAATTTGTTAAATTCAATTTCAAAGACAATAATTGCTCTGTTAATTATTTTGATTCATATTGTTCTCAGTAGGTGATTTCAGCCCACGCATGGAAATTGAATTACCAGAAGGGGATAAAATCATAAAACCTTGGCAAAAATGTAAAATAAAATTAAAAACTATCCCACAATATTTTTTTATCTATCTGTATTTTTTTATAAAAAAATATACATTTTGCACCACATATTTGCACTTCAAGAATCTTATGGATATCTCTGTCTACCTACAATACTCAAGAAAATATATCTACAGATCTATAGCTTTCCTCATCATCATATGTGTTTTCCAATTGTCAAGCTAGAAATAATTTTAGAGGTGGTATTCATTTGTTCATTTTAATTCATTCAGACATTTAACATATATACTCCCTCCGTTCCTAATTTTAAGATGTTTTGAATTTTTATTTTGTTCCAAAAAATTAATTTTCTAAATTTTTAATGTATTCCATTCCCACTTTACGAAAAGAAAAAAAGTAAAAACAAATTATTGGGAACAAAAAAAGTTAAAACTAACATATACTACTCTATCTAAATACTATTAAATTAAAATAAAAAGTATTTGAAAAAGTAGTTAGTGATTAGTTTCTTAATTATTGTGAAAAACTCAAAAAGATCATAGAATTAGGAACAGAGTGAGTAATAAACAAGAAGCATTAGTGGCTTATATGTCATTATCTCAGAATTTTGAATTTTTTAAATCTCAATAATTGTTAAAAACTTAAATAATTTATTCTTTCAATCAAACACAATTTTTCTTGCAACCAAACAAAAACTTCTCTAATTATTTATTTTTTAATTGCATTTAATTTTTTAAAAATCTGTAATTAATATATAGGTTTTCTGTATATAATTTAAACAATTCGATTTATATAAGTATGACAGAAAATTTAAGTGAATCTTTGTTTTTTAAAAAAGTATCTAACATATATTAAATAGGAAGCATTAGCTTAGTTGTCATTATCTCTTTTTCTAATATTTTTTATTAATTTATTTTTGTATACTATCCTTATTACCAAATATTTTATTTTAAATTAATTGAATTTAAATCGAACCAATCACAAATAATTTGATAATTTCATTAGTTTAGTTTAGTAAATTAAATTAGTCACATGAATTATTAATTGAAATAAAATTTATTTCCATGTTTTAGATATACGTGTATTTATTATTTTGCAATAGCTATGATTCACATATTATACAAACAGAAAAAGAGTATTATTTTCGAAATCTCCGACGAAAATAAATATAAATCTTGCTTTGTATAAGTTTAAATTAAAAACAAAAATAACTAAATTTTTTCAAATCTCGACTGAACATTTTTAGATACCTAAATATTTTTTAAAACTTAATAAATTATAAAATATTTCTTAAATATTTTTACTGTGCGAACGTATGGGTAATAACCTAGTCTGTATAAACTCTTGTTATTCAGCTTTAAGACTCGTTGTAAAAAAATTTCAAAATTGTATATGTAGATTTGAATTAATATTTATCAAATTGTATATTTTATCAATTCATAATACTGAATAACAATTGATTTTGAATGGTGTATAATTGCCAAGAGTTTTCTTCATCTGCCAAGAGTTTAAGAAGAATATCTGGACTAGTATACACCATTCAAAATCAATTGTTATTCAGTATTATGATAAAGAAAGGAAAAAATTCACACTGATTCAAATATCTAAAAATTATATAGTAACTTAGGATTCTTAATGAATGATTGATAGGATTCTTAATGAATGATTGATATCTAATTATAATAAAAATAACTATACTTTAGCAAAAAACTATCCTCTCCGAAATTATATTCTGTCAAATTGAAACCCCTTTGACAGATGCAGAAAGTGATTCCTATAAGTCTATATTAACTAAAAGTAAGAAAATAAAGGTTAAAATAATATATACTCACACATGCCAATGATTTGTAAACAGCATAAAACTCACAAGAACAAAATAGTTAAAGTTTTTTTTCAGGTAAATATATATATATATATATATATATATATTTATTAAGAAAAGAGCTTTTTCGTTCAAAATATTTAGAAATTGTACAAGGATAACACCACTAAATAAGTTACTATTTTCAAATCAAAATTTATGCTAATGAAATCAAAATACTGTGAGGTCAAAGCATAATATTAACTTATATTTTGTAATATATTTTTATGAATTTCCCTGGAGTATATATAAGTTTTTCATATATTAGATCAAATAGGGACATCGATGACATGCTTGTGTTTTTTTTTTTATAGACATACTTATTCCGTTATTTATGTTTACAAAGAGTTACAAGCATATATATTTACATTACGATGACAGCTTTACATCATTAGCAGTACTACCGATACATTTTGTTTACATTATAGATTAAGCTTAAACTTAAAGTACGTGTAGATACATAAACAGACACAAACACTTGGTAGTGATCTCCTAAGCGAAAACCATTACAACAAGCTTTAGCATATGTGTTGGTCTGCACTTTTTTTTCCAAAAGTAGAAATAAAAACTATCACACTTTCTTACAAACTCACCCTCCATACTCCGCATCACTTGAGCTTTACCCCGCTTAATTACGAAATTCCTTTATAAGCACTCCTCCATAGAGTTTGACTGCCTCGTCGCAGCTGATAGCCCGTCCTCTCGGCCTCTCAAACCGGTTGGCATGGCCGATAAGAGGACTGGCACCACCAAAGTGTTGAATATGTTCCGTAGCGTGAGAAACAACCGGTTCTTTTATGGTGGAGTCGTTTGAATACTGATAAATGACTCGGCGACAATTAGCAGTACTAGTTCTTTCTTTTACGGTATAAAATTTGGTACCACCATATTCGTAAGAATTTTGGTTGAAACGAGAAGCAAACTCGTCTCTGGGAACATATGGTGGAGGGGTTATATTTTGGGACTTACCGTTCACTTTATCGACCATTGCAAAAGCCTTTTGAACGATCATCCTTTCTTTTTGAGCCATTGCCATGTGAAGAACAAAGAAGAGAAGAAAGGTGTTTTATTTTGTTTCTATGTGTTATCTTTGTATTTTCAGTTTCAGTTTGATTTGGGAATTAAAGCATGCGAATGGCCTTTTTATAGACAAAGCTAAAGGAACTAACATAATCTTTTACCAAGAGCTTTTCTTTTGTGGTCAGAAACAAGAGATTTTTAGATTACTTTTCTAATGAAATATATTGTTTAGGAATTATCCTATTGCATTTGCATATGAGCTCTCGTTTTGTTTGAGGTCATCCAATGTTTATTGTAAACGTGTAAGCTCTGAAGTATTCAATGAGAGAATTTATTGATACGTGTAACCATCACAAACATGTACATGGAATCGAATATATCATCTCCTTTAAAGTCCCCTGCTCTTTCTCATGTATATGTATTATTAGATTACTTCTTATAAAAAGAAAATATTTTTTAAAAAACTTTAAGAAATATACATGTAATTTTTTTTTGTTAAATCATATATTTTTTTCTCTTTCAAAATATCTTTTTCAAGAAATGAATAATGAAATATTACCTACAACTACGTGAAAGTTGAAACTGTAGCTGGACTGGTGGCTCTCTCCGAGAACTCTTATCGACAACACAAAAGTCTTCGAATTCCCAAAGATCACACCAAACGACTATTGCGGGAGATTTAACTAGCAAAAGTCTCCACCAGCACTGCCTTGAATTTATTCGGAGCCTTTGGGCAAAATATTTTTTAAGCCTCCACAGTTATTTAAAATTTTTTTATGAAAAAATCTGCTTTAAAAAAAATTATTATCTAATATTTTAAGTAAAACTATATAAATTTAATTATTAATAATATGATCTCGTTTTATTACTATCTAAATCTAAATTTGATATAATATGTATATACAGTAAAACCTCTATAAATTAATAATGTTGGGACTTCAAAAGTTTATTAATTTATAGAATTATTAATTAAACAATAAATTAATAATTATTAATTTATCAAGAAATTAATATTTTATTAATTTATAGAGAGATATTTCATTTCAAATTCAAAATATTTGTCAAAAAAAAACAAAAAATGTTTTCAACAATATAAATTTATTCAGAAAATATCATATCAGTAAATTTAAAAAATAAGTCAAACAATTTTTATAAAATTTAAAAAATAATATAATTATATTTTACTAGATTATATTATTTATATATGCTTAAATATATAATTATCAATTTATCTAATTATTGGGACTATATTTTTACATAAGAATTTCGAAAAAATTATTATCTTATTATCTTATAAAAATTTGCTAATTTTACACTAATCCGACTTAGAACCGACAAAAATTATTAATTTATAATGATTATTAATTGATTGAGTATTAATTTATAAATATTCTACTTTACATGAAAAAATAAAAATTTTTTACATTGATAAATTCGAAGTTGGATCAGGGACGGTTGCACCATTTATGGCCCTCCACTAAGCCATCTTTAAACTTTACTCTTGACCTTCACCTAACCAGATAAGATATGTACCACTTCATCATGACGGGGATGATGACCAACAACTCGGATCTACATATTTGGGTTAGATCAGCATCACACAAAAGGAGGGCTAGGAATACTTTTCTTGAGACTAGGAATTCAATATACACATAAAGATTTTCATTTTTCTTTATGAATAATAAAAATATATATTTTTCCACAATATTACCATGTGGGAATTAAATATGAACTTAAGATATTTTTGTATATATCTTCTTTTGCCAACCATTTAAGATTATTTAATTATGAATATCTCTCAGCCTCTTTCTGTTAAAATAAATTAAAGGGATTCACATACATCTACAAATATAATGGTTTAGGATTCGAAATGAAGATTGGTATATTGTCCCGATATTATGCCAAGTGGAAACTTCTTTTATACAGCTTTAACAAAAGAAAACTTCTCTTATGCAGAAACTGATTAATCCTAGAAATACATATTAATCGTAGTAAAGAAGAAAGGTTTGGGAATAATCGTAGAGTTGAACAGAGTTTGTGAAATGCAGATATAGAAGAATAATAGTAGGGTTGAATGTGATACTATTTAAAAGAGAAGAAATAATTGAGAATCAAATCCTAACCGACCTTTCTCTTTTTCTTGCAGTGTTGCTTTAACCTTCATAAAGCAGATTCCCTATACCTTCTCTCCCAAGCTTTCTGGAGATTTTTATTTTCTACGTACGTACATGATATATACACGATACGTGATACATATTTTTAATGCACATTAGCACGTTCATGTACGCTTCCATTACACGACTCATGTCATGCATACACAGATTATGCAGCATGTATATGTAGACCAGGGTTTCAAGTTGCATATATTGTATTATTCTTTTTTTTTTTTTGGGGGGGGGGGGGGGGGGGGGGCAATATATATTGTATTATTCAATCATTGATTTTAAATGTTTTGACTGTGTTATTCGATTTATGATTTACAAAACTTGTGTTAATTCTAAAATATTCAATCAATCATTTCGAAATATAAGATCCATATTAAAATCTCGTAAATCCATATAGATTTGAAAATATACTTGATAATCAATTAAATTCGTGTAAATCTAATTAGATTTTGGAGTATTAACCTTCATCAGTACATTATTTTTAACAAAAAATACTAACGTGCACATCAATACACTTATACACCAGTGGAAAAGTATGTAGAAAACCCACTAAAATGGCAAAACTTAATTACGACAAGTTTTTTTATTTTATTTTTTAATGATGAAAATGTCATCCTCGTCAGACAACTTTACCCTCTAGGTTCCCTATATAAAAGCCACTACCTTTGTTACTATCTAACCATCCAAGACAACAAACTCAATAAACACAAACTCGATACATTCTTCATCTCTCTCTCCTTCCTTCTCTCTTTCTACTACCATGGGATCATCACGAAAGGATCAGCTCAAGATGATTGCAGAAGATGGGTTACAGAAGCTCAACAAAAACACTTCCTATTCAAACTCTAATCTCACTTCTCTCAAGAGCCATAACAGTTCTTACATCTACCACGGTCCTCAAGTTCATACCGTAAGAGAGTCCGTAAAATATTCCACCAACTCAACTTTTTTGGTCTATCAATGTCCAGATAGTTCAATCCTTGTGAAACAACCGGTTTTGCCCGCAACTATAGAATCAGCTCAACGTTTCCGTTGCCCGTCTCTTGCCTAAACCAAAAACCAAACGCGAGCAGTATGATCAACCTTCGAGTTACCCGAATTTTCTGAGTTAAGGGATGAAATTAAGATTATGGAAAAATTTGGAGGTTGTTTTGTAGTTTTTATTTATATTAGATATGGTGTGAGTGAGTGCAGACCGGCTCAAACTTTACTCTCTTAAGAGTTTGGTTGTAATAATGTTACAACTTGAATTTGTGTGCGTGCGTCTGTTTGTAGCATGTAAAAAGTACGTACTGTATATGTAACCTCTTTATGTGTGTATTTTCTATTTTCAGAAAGTTTTTGGTTTAAAACCTAACAAAAAATACGTAGACAAAATTTGAAACCACTTACCATAAAGCCTTAAAAAATGACCAACCGTAGTCTACGATCAGGGCTGGCTCAAGATATTTCGGGTTCTGGGCACAAAATAAACTTGGGCCTTTGATGTTTAAAAGAAAATCAACTTGGGCCTTTATATAAAAAGAATTTAAAATTGTGCGACTCAGGGCCCAGTTCATTAGTGTATTATTACCACCCATCAATATACTGACGAGTTGCGCAAATTCATTGACTCGACGTTAGTGACTTTCAGTTTCAGGGTCAATGTCGATTCATGCAAGACCCTTATTTTTCCAGCAATTATTCTCAGTACAATTCGAGCTAGTTACAATTACTTGTTGCTAGTCATAGATACTTTTCTTCGCTTCATTTATCCTAGTAGAATCAATTCTTTAATGGCCTAATGGAGAAATGTCAACGCTTTGGCAGGATTGAGTAGCTACCTATCATTTTAAAATTGATAGTGATAAATGTGAATCCAACAAATACTGTAAACTGTGCAATTTATACACAAATTAAACTTGCCTAAACCTACATAAGCAAAATACGAAACCAACTTTCTTTGTTTTGTTTTTTTATAACGCTTGTTGTGTATTAAAGGAGTTTCAAACGGAAAGAAACAGAGTTTGTAAAATACAAGAAGGAAAAAAAAAACAGAAACTCCAAGCGATATAGAGATACAACCAATTATGAAAACAGAGAGTAGAAAGGAGATGAAGAGGCTGAGACTCCTAAAAAGTTACTCTCTTCCATGTCCATCATAAAAACACTTTAGTGTATGACTCCATTGGGATCACCATTAGCCTCTAGGGATGTAATTATGTGAAGCCAAAAAGGACCTTTCGAAGCCACATACGAGTGATAACGATGGTCTCTTGTAACACTCACGGCAATGGCTAACGCTGCCTGATTTGCATCTTCTGCTATGTGATCAAGGCTCCAAAAATCAAAGGAAGATAGTAAGCTCAAGATCGAATTGATACTTGGTCAGAGAGAAGGGAAACTGTTCGGCTGGAGTAGAGCTTCTCTTGCCAATGGCAGGGAGCCTTCAAAGATAACCTTTCTCTATCTTAATTGGGAGACAGCCTGGACTGCCCATATGATGCACTGAAGTTCTGTTTCACAGGCGGATGCTTGAGCACTGAAACAGCGTATGGCATATCGTTTCAGTAGCACTCCCACATATTCGGCACGTTGTATCTAGAGGCACACGTCAGGAGTGAAGCCTTTCTGCAACAGCCAATGCCCCTGACAGCGCTTTCCACATGAAATATCTGATCTTTGGGGGCGTTTTGACTTTCCAGAGATTTTTCCATAATTGTTTCTCCAGCCGGGGAATCACTCTCCCTGGCGGATGTCATGCTTCATCAAGTGACTCCAATAGTTTGTAGCCACTCCTAGAATCATAGCAGCCATTCTTTGCAAAACCCCATATCTTTGTATCTTGTAAGTGAAGGTTTGGCTTTATCTGTAAAATACGTTCAGCATCCTCATCGGTGAAAGTTTGACGAATAAGGCCTACATTCCACCAGTTTCCAAGGGGGCTAAGTAAATCTGCTACCATGAGGGAAAGGTTAAGTTCGCTGTCTTGACGGTACATAGGAGGTCGAGTAGGGTTGTCTGCTATCCAATTATCAGACCATACGTGGGTGCCTGTGCCATCACCAATCACATTAACTAGGCCATGTCTTAGGAGAGCCCTGCCATGTAAGACACTGCGCCAAGCATAGGAGGGTCGGGGTCCTAGATTGCAGGTGAGGAAGTCAAAGTTTCGAAAGTAGCGATGCTTAAGGATCCAAGACAACAGAGAGTTTGGGTTATGCCAGATTCGCCACGCCTGTTTCCCTAAGAGTGCTTGGTTGAAACGCTCAATATCATGGAACCGTAAGCCACCTGTTTCTTTAGATATACACAATTTAAACCAAGCCACCCATGTGATCTTACAACCCTCATTTCCATTACTCCACCAGAATTCGATCAGAGCACTTGTGATTTTTCCACACATTCCCTTGGGAAATTTAAACACTGGCATCGCAAAGATTGGCAAAGCTAGACCAATGGACTTGATTAGCATTTCTTTCCCTCCATGCAAAAGGGCTCGAGCATGCCATCCTCGCACTCGCTTTTGCAATTTTTCCTGGATGAAATTGAGCATTTCACGTTTAGAGCCACTAAAACATTCCGGTAATCCCAGATAAGTACCCTCGCCACCTTCCTTTTCTATCTCCAAGGTGAGTTTGACCTCCATTTTGATCGCTTCTGGGATTTTTTTTCCAAAGATTATCGAAGATTCCATGTTGTTGATCATCTGTCCCGAGGCTGCACCATAAACTTTTAAACAGAGCATCACTTCGAAGGCTTAGGCTGGCGAGGCTTTACACATCAAAAGGCTATCATCTGCAAAGAGAAGATGATGAACAGCAGGTCCGGAGGGGGCTATGCGAATCCCACTCAATTTTTCACACGCTTCAGCCTTGTTTAGACAGTTGACGAGAGCTTCTGCACATAGTATGAAGAGAAAAGGAGATAGGGGATCTCCCTCACGAATCCCGCGTTCAGGTCTAATGAAGCCATGAGAGCGTCCATTGAGGAGAACTGTGTACGAAACTGTGCTTACACAAGACATCACCCATCTGATCCAAGTATGTGCAAAGCCCATTTTCTCTAGAAGTATCTCTAAGAAGTACCATTCGACACGGTCATAAGCTTTCGACATGTCAGTCTTGATCGCCATATAGTTTTGAGCAACAATAGGGTTCGTTCTCAACGCATGGACCATCTCATGAGCAATGGTGATGTTGTTTGATATTAGGCATCCTGACACGAAAGCTCTATGTGTGTCCGAGATGATATCCGATAGAAACGGCTTCAAACGCTCACACAAGATTTTGGAGACTATCTTATACTGGGTCGTACACAAACTTATTGGTCTCATATCCTGCATCTTAGTTGGGTTGGAGATTTTTGGAATGAGACACAGCTGCGTATGGTTCCATCCACCCAGCAGTATCGCAGTTCGAAAGAAACTCTGAATCTCCTCTATGATTTTGGGATCAACAATATGTCAATATTTCTGGTAAAATAGGCCAGTTAATCCATCTTCACCTGGGGCACTGCTGCTATTAATGCTGAATACAGCACTTTGTTTTGTTAGTTTACTAATTCAAACATATAAAAAAGAAAAGAGATATGATATTTTTTTTAAAGGAAAATCAACAACAAATTTCAAATTAAACAAATCTTTCGAATTAACAAATATCAACAAAATTATTCTAAGTAGCGAATATCAATAAAATTATTCTAACTAACGAATGTCAACAGATTTCTCCAAACTAACAAGTATCAACAAAAAAATTCAAACTAACGATTAACGAGTATCAATAAAAAAATTCAAACTAACGAATATCAACAAAATTCTTTAAATTTAGTTTCGCATGTAGCTTTATTCTTAATTATTATTTATTTATTAAAAAGTTTTCATTTTTATCTTGAATTATATTTTATTTTATTTAACTTTATTTTTATCATGAATCCTCTACCTATTAATTGACAATGTAGTTTAATGAAATATGCTGATTTGTTTTAATTTTATTGGTTAAAAACATCAATCTAACCTAATTAAATGTGACATGGAAATGATGATGTGTAATGATGATGTAATTGTGACATGGCATTTGCTAACACATGTGAATTATGACATGGCAAAAAATATTTATGTGTTTAATTTATTTTAGTTCAAATAATTATTTTATGAAAACTGAAAATATAAAATATTTAATTATTAATAAAAATCCTCTACCTATTAATTAACAATGTAGTTTAATGAAATATGCTGATTTGTTTTAATTTTATTGGTTAAAAACATTAATCTAATCTAATTAAATGTGACATGAAAATGATGATGTGTAATGATGATGTAATTGTGACATGGCATTTGCTAACACATGTGAAACACATGTGGATTATGACATAGCAAAAAATATTTATGTGTTTAATTTATTTTAGTTCAAATAATTATTTTATGAAAACTAAAAAATATAAATTATTTAATTATTAATATAAATTATAAACCGTCATTTTTTATCACATACACAAAATATATGTTATATTTTTTATTACATGCACAGATTTGTACAAGTTAAATTGTATAAAAATTATATCTTCATCACATGCACCGACTATATAATCTAAAGTAACATTAATCTAACAATTAATGTTTAATTAAAGAATTTATTTTTGTTGTCTACACAAAATAGAAGCTAAACAAATATACAAAGAGAAGTTAGAGTATACCATGTTTTGTTAACCCAAGTATGATTATCTACTTTTAACAGTCTTCTTCTTGAGATTGTCTTTGCGAATATAATCCAAAGCAACATTAATTGTATCATCGAATTGTATAAAAATTATGAGAATTGTCTTCATCACATGCACTGGCTATATAATCCAAAGTAACATTAATCTCACAATGTTTAACTAAAAACCCCATTTTTGTTTTCCACACGAAACAGAAGCTAAACAAATATACAAAGAGAAGTTAGAATATATTTAAATTCAAATAATTTTCTGTGTTTAATTTATTTTAGTTCAAATATTTGTTTTATACAAAGAAGTCTTAGAGAATTTAGAGGCTAAATAACTGGATAAATTGAAAAAGATTAATTGAAGACGAAGTAGATGATGAAATTTGCAGCTATATATGTCTGGCCCGCAAATCCGCAGCAAGTAGCCGTTCAACCAGCTATCCACAGGTCTAACTCATTTGTCCTTTAACATAATAAAATAGGCATTTTGTTATAATAAAAGGTTTAGTTAAAATTATACCATATTTTGCTATTAGAGCTTATAATTTAATCGCTCTACCTAATTTTTTATATATTATAAAAACTAAAATATTTATAACAATTTAAATATTATATTTATGTAATTAATTTTTTTAAACTGTTTATGCCTAAATATGCGTGCAGGCCAAACTCCTTATTATCAAGTGAAAATGACGTTCTTTCACGTAAAATTTCCCATATTTGATTTGTTCAATATGAAGTGTCATATGACTCCGAAAATTTAGACTAATTGACTCGACGTTATTGACTTTTTAGGGTCAATGTCGATTCATGCATGACCCTTGTTTACAATTATTCGAGTAATAATTTATTGTTGTTGCTTTTGCCCAAAAAAAAAAAAAAAAAAATTCTTGCATCATATATTTGAGAATTTCCAGTAAATCGTTTTTGGTAAGTCTTTCCACGTCATTTCTGGCGTAACTGGCGTCTTTGTGATCAAGCCTTACAAATTCTAATCGCCCGTACGATGCACCTTTAGATTATAATATCTGCATCTTCGGTATTTGGATAACAGATTGAACATTCCCTTGGCTTAGATTACAAGTGATTATATAATTAGCTTCATTCACGTACCCTTTATAAGTTTAAGGTGTGTATTCTTTACATGCGGAGACAAATTCTTTCTCCTTTTCATTCGATTCAAAGGAGCTGAAACCCCTTAAACGGACAATAAAGATCATCTTTTCAAATGAAATTGTTTTATATCAGAATTTTAAAGACTACTTGAAGTTGATCAAGATTTCTCAGCCCCCTATCGAGTGGCTACCTTCTCTAACCTAGTGGACGAGTTATGTTTGTTTTGGAATTAATAGGTTAATTTATCGACTTTTGTTTTTAATTCTACGTAGTTCGAACTCTCAGGCGGATTGCATGGCTCGTAAGTCTGGAATTAGACTTGTTGATGTTTCTTTTATAAACGTTTCTCCTCCTATACCGTATTCAGGTTTTGAAATATTATATGTGAAAAATATATGTTGCCTGATGGTATGCCCTGAGATTGTATTACTAATAGTATAAAAGAAGGTTATATACAGCCAATTCTATCATAACTATACCGCATCTACGAATATTTGGTATGGATCCAATAGGAATGTAATTTTATAATTAGCCTTATTATATTTTAGTTGGAGAAATGTCGTTTTACTAATTAGTCTTATAGATGAAAATGTAACATGTATACTATTAAGAGCATGATAATTAAATTACTCGCAGTAACACCGTAACATGTTTATCTTACATAAGCTTCAACTCTTATTACTTCTAATACTATTGCAGACCGAAACACTAAAGTAGTGATCTAAACCTTATTCCGTTATAGCACACACGTCGCGGTTTATACTTGGGACATAAATAAAAACTATCACACTTTCTTATAACTTATACCTTGCATGCAACTTCAACATAACTTGAGTTTTCCCCTGCTTAATTAGTTACGAAACGTCTTAATAAGCACCCCTCCATAGCGCAGAAACGCCTCGTCGCAGGTAATAGCACGTTCTTTCTGCTTCTCAAACCGGTTTGCATGGTCGATTAAAGGACGCGCTCCACTGTAGTGTTGAATACCATCCGTTGGATGATATTGATAAGTGCAATTCACGGTATAAGATTTTGGACCTTCATAGCGAAAAAGAGATTTTGGACCACCATATTCGTAAGAATTTTGGTTAAAACTTGAAGGGAAGTCGTCTCTAACAACATGAGGTTTAGGGCTTATTTTGTGGGACTTACCAAACCACTTATCGACCATTTCAAAAGCAGCGATTCTTGTATTCCTGTCGTTTTGAGCCATTGCCGTCGAAGAACAAAGATGAGAAGAAATGTGTTTTGTTTCTGTGTGTTATTTTTGTTTCTTCGTTAGTTTGATTTGAAATAGAACGCCAACGGTCCTTTTTATAGAAAAACCTCTCTGGAATTTTGCAAAATGATCCTCCAAGTAGGTTTTTTTTTTTGTAAGTTTACCTTCAACTTGCAAAGCTCATGAATGAATGTCTACTAGACTTTTTCTTTTGATATATATCTTTTATGAAATATCTACTAGACTTTGGCATATTGAAGAGCCATATTGAATGCTGGTTTTTTTAATATTATTATCCTCTTTTTTTTTATCTAAAGAATGTAAATATTCGAATCCACGCTGTGAGTTTTAGTTCCAAGAAGATGATTTATTAGGTTCGTGTTCTCAATTGTAAACTGGTTATTCTATAAAATAAGGATAAAATGGAAACATTTAACCGTCTAAACTGATTGCTTATACGTGGTCCCGACCGTCGGATATTCGACTCTATGCCTAAACTTGCTCTTATAGTGAAATCGTCATGGTGGAAGTTTGAGTAATGCCTAACATGTACCTTGGAACAAAACCTTGATGATGTTTGTCAATTGTCTTGTTTCAATCTTGGCTCGAAGGAGGGACGTCTCGATTATTCAAAGACCCTGGAAAGTGAATTAATATGGTAATCACATTTAAAGAAGATGTTTTCTTTGGTCTCGTCGCCTAGAGAGCAGATCGAGCAACATGTATATTTCAATGATCAACACATAGTGGGTAGTTAGAAACACATATAATGTAATGAAACTAATTGTACTAGACTCTCTTAATTGAGATTCTTAGTTGGTAACCTTCCATGTGAGATTAGATATCATCGACATTGTGTATGGCAACAATGTTTTTTTTTTATTTCGAACATCAGCTATAATATTCGGCTGTTATGTCCTCTGGAATGTAAAACCTGGCCGTTGAGTCATCTCAGTTGTAGCACTCGGCTTTCTGATCATCATATATAATCGAAACATTTAAATCCCACCATCGCAGTTGAAAGATACAGCATCACAAATTCGTGTATCTCCATCATCTTTATCTCGAATCGTTACGATACCACACCACGATCCATCACTTTCATAAACATATTCATCATTGAAAACATTGTGTGAACGGACGATATATATCACCTGCATATTCATGGTATTGGTAAAACGTACTTCACGGCTAAGGGTGGAAACAATTAGAGATAATGATTTCTTCTAAAAATGCATCGTCATGGCCTTCAACACTATGGACATCATGTGATGAACCATAATCAGCCCAAGAAACACGATAATCGAACGAATCCATCATGTAGGTTATGGACTTATGATGAACAGAAAATCATCTAGATTATTTTTCTTCCGAAACTAGTGAAGATAAAATAAAAATAAAAACTAAGCTCGAATAGATAGTTATGTATGTTAATTAACAATTTTAAAACATCAAGTTTAATGTAATAAGATTTGTAAATTATGATATATTTGTAAATTTTTTATCCTGCTTGGTGATCCCTTTCGATTTCAAATCTTGGTCAAAGTTTCAACGTGGCAATAAGTGAAAAGCATGAGACAATTCAAGATTCTATACACACACAAAAAGAAGAATTCAAGATTATAAGAATACAAGAATATATGTATAAGAATTCAAGATTATGTATGTTACAAAAAGAAAAGATTCAAGATATGTACTGACCGTGTCAAAAGCAAAACCAAAAACAAGGAAGAGATAATAAAGAGTCAACTTTCTCGAGAAAATCACTTGACATATCTGTGACTATTTATAAAAAGTTGTAAGTTTAGATATATTCCTACTTCTACGTCATGTTTTTTTTTTTTTGCTTAACTACTACGTCATGTTAGTATGCGTATTTCTCTTTATAACTAATTTACTCGAATAAATTTATGTCTGTTTATAAAAAATTCAATATCCAAAAACGGAGCAATATATATATTTGTTTTAATATGTTATGTCTGTTTCTAAAAATTTACTCGCGAAGTTGTCAATATCGCATTTTCGTCCGACAGATTAACATTATGTTACTTGGTGCATGTTGTTAGAGTTACTCGCGAACTTTCGTGAACTCTAGCACATGTTGTTAAAGTTATGGCAAATTAATTATAATTCTGTATTTCTTAATTTATTATCAAAGTTGTGGCAGCCTCTAATCAATACTCCAAAATTAGTGACAATTAATATAGAGTTGAATGACATGCAATCCTTTCTAGACCTTTATCTTTTTTTTCTTCCAATGATGCAAAAGGTTTATGGATATAGGAAATATTGAGGAATAATAATAGAGTTGAATTGGATGCTAAAGTGAGAAGAAATAATAGAGAAGATAATAATGAAGACCAGTTCCTAAACCTTTCGCTTTTTCTTCTTCCAGTCAAATTAAATTAACCTTCGAAGAAGATTTTATGCATACTTCCATTACACGTTTCATGCATATATTGATTACGATATGTAGACAGACATGCATGCCCCACAAAGAATCATGTAAAAAAACATCATCAAAATATTGCGACCAGGATTTCAAGTTGCAATGCTACCGGTAATAATATTTTAATAACTTTTTATATGATTCTTTGCAATGATTAAACCAAAGTGGCAGTATTATAATGATATCAATATTTTGTTAACCATTGCAGCGAATCCGAAGTTAGTTCTTCTGTTTTGATACCATATCAGAGATTGTTGACTCAATAACAGACTAAGATTTATTAAAGAACAAAAGGACTTGAGATGAATCGCACAGAGAGAGGGATAGCCGAAACGAAAGTACTGTCTAAAAAAAATAAAGAGATCATATAATTCATGTGTAAATTTAGTATTATGTTACGTACCATCTACAGTTTTTTACACACATGTGCTTAACGTAAGCTCAACTCTAAGTTTCTAACAAAGTAATGGTGAGCTCAATTTATATATTTTTAACTATCTATGTCATGTTTTGCATATTCCTTGGCTCACTTATGTCGATAAGCTAAGAGACTAAATTAACGATCTCGTATGCATAACAGAACAGTGTAACATAAGCCTTAAAGAAAGGCATCCTTGGAAACTAGAATTAAAACAGCGTAAAGTTGGTGAACTATATATTCTTCTAAAAACAAGAAAAGAACAATAACATATAGAAGGAGGTTCAAGGTCTTGATCCGGTGAATACTCTCCAGCTTTCTTTTTCTTGATCTGTTGTGGCTTTCACGAGATATATTTCCGCAAGGAAACACTCATTGTACACTGCATTTTAAAAACAGCCTTGGGCTGGGACCAATGGGGAAGAGAAGTGCTATGAGGTTAAAAGAGGATCCACGACTTGTTATGATCAAGAGCTTAGAAAGAGAGCAATAGAGTGTGGCAAGACTCCTCCGAAAATAGGAAGACATATTTCAGAATTGCAAACTAATTCTGACCAATTCACTTCAACAATCATTTCTAAAGAACCTTGTAAATTGGGTTTTATAGAGAGAAATCTATCAGATGACCAAACAATTGACATTTACAGTAGAATTTTTATAAATTAATATTTGCTAACTTAATAATCATTATCAATTAATAGTTTTTGCCAATCTCAAATTGAGTCAGTGTAAAAATTAGTAAATTTCGACACAATAATAAGATAATAATTATTTTGAAATTCTTGTGTGAAAAGATATTTTCAATAATTACATAAATTAATAATTATATATTTAGATATATGCATATCTAATGTAATATAATAAAATATAATTATATTATTGTTTCAAATTTATAAATATTGTTTGATGTATCTTTCAAATTCATTGATATAATATTTTATGAATGAATTTTATACAGTTAAAATTTTTTTTGTCTTTAAATTAACATTAAAAATTCGAATTTAAAAATAATGCTATAAATATTTCTAATTATTAATTTATCAATAAATTAATAATTAATAATTTATTAATTAGTAAAACCTTTACAAATTAACAACTGTATTTATAAAGTGGGGTTTGTTTTCCGGAAAAGAAGTTCGAACAGGACCCAAACTTTTCAATTTAAGTGTAAACGAGTTCAAGAGCTAACTCAATTTATTTGATGTTACAATTTTTTAATATACAATTTAGTGTACTGGTTCATACACATACTGCAAATGTTAAAAAAAAAATGAAAAAAACATTTTTATATTTAATTAGCAAGGAAGCAACAAAACTTTTCCCTAGGCTTTAAATTTTATTAGGCCAGGCCCGCCTAACGGCGTTTTATTTTCTGGCATCGGGTACCAAGCGCAAAATGATCCCTTCGTTGCATAAATACTTTAGAACAGGCAGTTTCATGATTACTCGTTGGTTCTAGACTTCTAGTAAAAGGCAGTTACAATTCTTGACGCAAACAACCTAAAGTATTTTATCAAAAAAAAAAAAAAAACAACCTAAAGTTCATTATATATATATGAAAAGAGTGCGTAATACAAGTCCATTGTTGCATCTTCAACTTTGGTTATTCTACGTGATTTTTGAGCTCCCATACTAGAAGTCGAGTCTATTTCCTTGCATCTTACGAAGTGGCACACTATATTTATTATATTCATTGATCGTAACTGTACACTATCAAGTCAATGCTTAGAAATTATTAGGCTATTTGACAGATTTATATTGTGTATTATTTATTTATTCTTGTTGTCAGTCAGATATTGTATTGTTAATGGTTGTGTCTAAGTTTGCTTCTGATTTGAGTTTGTATCTGATTTTGTTTCTAATTTTACTTAAGAGTATTGTTGGTTTGTGTGAGTTTGTGTCTTTTGATTTGTGAGTTACTTAAAATTTGCATTTCTTATGACTTTGTGTGTTAAGCTTTGCTTCTGATTTTAATATTTACATCTTAATATATATGTATTGATGAGGTTATTGTGTTTTCAACCGATGTTAACGTCAGCGTTGAAAAAATCGAATTTCACACATGCTGTGTTGTAAACCTCCATATTTTTAAAAAAATCGTGAATAATGTGTGTATTTTAGAAAAGA